TTCTGGCTCTTTCAGTTTTTAAGTGGTTGAAGAAATGCAGAAATGAAAGAATGGTCAAATGTGCCTCCTGGAATAGAAAGCTCTTTATATGTATTTATAGTATATATATATTTGTACAGCACCTAACATGAATGCTAATCAAGATGCTGTTAAAGAACATACATTCTGGGCATAAATGTAATACAGTAATAATGTTTCTGATCCCTCCGATACATCAAGTAAATTCTATGAAACAGCTTGTCAAATCTAAAATTGGAATATGTAATCCATTTAAAAGTGAGAATTGGATCTGGGCTAGATTTTCTGCCAGTTACTCTGTGTCTAAATGAGTAAGAAAAATAAGCTTTGTCTAAAGCTTGTTTCTGAGTCTGATTTTTCTAAGCTTGATCCGTTAAGACAACAGCTCCTCTACAACAGAGTCAATTTACCTCAGCAGGAGACTTTACAGCTCTTGGTAAATAATCTGATGAACAGGAAAGAATATATTGATTGGTATTTTCCCCTTTAAAAGCCATGTTTCTGTGGAACAAATAATTCTAAGATTAGGGATGAAATCTTAAAATATTGAAGTCAATAGCGAAACTCCCTTTGATGTTGATGGGGTCCAATTAGGTCTGTTAGGGGTAGGGGATATGTGTGAGAGTAGGTATTGAGGTTGAGTGGTGCTTTGGAGAGCTTCTGTCTGGGGGCCGACCCAGTGCCCCTCCAGGTGGAGGACTGGGGACTTCTTGATTCTAGCTGTGTCTGCCTGCCTTTTCAGCAGCTGCTGCTGGAGAAGAAAGAAGAGGCATCCATCGTGTGGAAGGAATTGCAAGGCAAAAGCAAGTGGAAGGAGGAGCAGGAAGAGGAAGAAAGGGCAAGAGAAAGGCACTCCTAGGAAGGGGGATTTCCCTGTTTTTGGGACTGCGGTCACCTGGAGCATCCCTGGCCATTTGGGGCTGTTTCCTGGGCCCCTGGAGCTGCCATTTCCCCAGCTATTTAATGCCAGGAATACTCAATAAACTACTGTCTTAAATGGTGTGTTTCCCATCTAGCTCCTTTCCTGCCCAACTCTGCCCGGGCAGGGGCACATTCAGGAGCAGCTGTTGTTCTGGGGGTACCAGGGGTCATGTGCCTGTGTTAGGGGGAGCTTGCTGCCTCTGGCAGGAAGCGCATGGGCATCTCGCAGGGGGAGGGGAGGGAGCAGCCAGTGATCTAAGGATCATTCTGTGATTGATGTCATACCCTGGGATCAATTGATGATCCCGGATTTAATCAATTATTCTGGAATTTATTAATTATCTTGGAATCAATGATACTGGGATAGATTTATTCTACTAGGATCGATGATTGTGGTATGGATTTATCATCCTGGGATCTGAGTATTATTCTGAGATTTGATTTATCACCCTGGGATCCATTGATGATTCAGGAATTTAGGACCTTGGGGTCAGTGATTCTTGGATCCACAGATGATCCTGGGATTCATCAGTGATTCTATGAATTATTTATAAACATGGGATTGATAATCTGGAATTATTAATGATCCTAGTATCCACCGATGTCTCAGGAATAAATGTATAATCCTGGGATCGATGATCCTGGGATTGATTGATGGGCCTGGTACTGATTACTATAGGATTGATTGATGACCTTGGAATCCATCAATGATTCTTGGATGGATTAATTATCCTGCAATTGATTTATGATACCAGAATACACAGATGATTCTAGGATCAGATGCTGATCCAGGAATCAGTGATTCTGGGATGCACTGATGAAACTGGAATCGATGATTCTGGAATGGACTCATGACCTTAAAATGGATGATTCTGAGAGGGACTGATATTCTAGGGACAGAAGATTCTGTGGTTGATTTCTGTTCCTGGGATCAATGATTCAGGCATCGATTGATGCTCCTGGGACCGATGACTCTGGGCTCCATAGAGATTCCTGAGATCGATGATTTCTGGGCTCAGTTAAGGTTCCCGAGGCTGATGATTCTGGGCTCTATTGAGTTGCCTTGGATCGATGATTCTGGGCTCCACTGAGATTCCTGGGATCAATGTAGTCTGGGCTCCATAGAGATACCTGGGATCAATGATCTCTGGGTTCCATTGATGTTCCTGGGATTGATGATCTCTGGGCTCGATTGAGTTTCCTGGGATCGATCATTCAGGCATGGATTGAGATTCCTTTGATTGACGTTCTCTGGAGTCCATTTAGGTTCCTGGGATCGATTATACAGGAATTGATTGACGTTCCTTTGATCGATGTTCTCTGGGCTCGATTGACGTTCCTTTGATCGATTTCATCTGCGTTTGATCGAGATTCCTTTGATCGACGTTCTCTGGGCTTGATTGAGATTCCTTTGATCAATGTTATTTGCGATCGATTGGTGTTCCTTTGATCGACGTTATCTGAGATCGAATGCTGTTCCTTTGATCGACGTTCTCTGCACTCGATTGAGGTTCCTTTGATCAAATTCTCAATCGAGCCCAGAGACTGTCAAAGGAATCTCAATCGAGATCCCAGAATACATCGATCAAAGGAATCTCAGTCGAGCCCAGAGAATGCTGATTACAGGAATCTAAAGGGAGCCCAGAGAACATCGATCAAAGGAACCTCAGTCGATGCCGGAACAATTGATCCCAGGGATCTCAATCAAGCCCAGAATCATCGATCCCAGGAACATCAATGGAGCCCAGAATCATGGATCCCATGAATCTAACCGAGCCCAGAGAACACTGATCCCAGGAACATCAATCCATCCCAGAGAACATCCATCAAAGGAATCTCAATCAATCCCAGAAATCTCAATCAATGCCTGAATCATCAATCCCAGGAATCTCAATGGAACCCAGAGATCCCAGAATCATTGAGCCCAGGAGCATCAAAGCCAGAATCATCCATCCCAGGAACATCAATCACACCCAAACTTCTCAGTCCCAGGATCATCAATCCATCTCCTAATCATAGTCCCCAGGAATTTCAATGGATACCAGAATCATCAAACTATTCCAGTATCATAAATTGATCACTGGCCTGTTGTTCTCAGGATCATTAATCAAGAGTAGAACCATCAAGATATTACAGGATTATGAATTGAGTCCAGAATCCTTGATCCCAGGAAGATTAACACATTCCAGAATCATAAATCGAGCCCAGAATAATTATCCTATGATCATCTATTAACCACAGAATCATCAAACAATCCCAGAATCATTGATTGATTCCTGGGTCATCAGGTCATCCCAGAAACACCAATCACAAGATCATAAATCAGTTCTGGAATTACCAGTCATTCCCAGGATCATACATCCCAGAATAATCGATCCTGGAATATAATAAATATATCCCAGAATCATAAATCGATCCCAAGATCATTTGTAAAGTACAGAATCATCGATTGATCCCAGGATCATTCATCAGTTACATAATCGATCCCGGGATCACCGGCTCTGCTCCCTGGCCCGTTCTATGGGTTGCAAACTGCCGGGGAGCACCGTCCCCGGGGTGTCTGCTCCGGGCTCCACCGGGGCCGCCAGCACCGCAGTCCCTGCAGGACCCCGTGCGATGCCGAGGCGCTTCCTCGGGGAGGAAGCGTCGCGCTCCCACCGAGTGACACATCCACGCGGAATCGCCGGCGCGGGGGGTGGTCCGGGCGGCTAATTGCGTGTGACTGCAAATCACGAGGAAGGGCGGACGTGCTCACTTCCACGGAGGGGGAAATCGGGCATGGCCACCCGCGGGGAAGGGGGCGCGCCCTTGGCGGAGGTACCGCTGGGTCAGCAGAGCAGGCGGGACCAGGCGGCCGCCCCGGGGAAGCTCGGCCCCCTTCCCTGGCCCTTCTGCTGCTGTCCCGCCCG